GATCGGGGTATGACACACGAGGATACGAATATGGATCCTCAACATATGGTTATGGATCTGGCTATGACTCCCAGACATCCTCCTCATATAGACAAGATAAAGATTGGTCAGGGACTGGTGCATTCGTTCCCCAACAGATTGGATGTAGTGTTGCAGACTATCAGAGATTTGGAAGAGAATATAATTCATATTATCGTAATAATATGAGTTGGAGTAACTATTGTGATCATATTTATGTCACATATAGAGTTTCTCTAAGTAGCTACCCAGAGCCTACACCAATGTATGAGCCTGCTCGACACTCCACTGGGGGATGGATGTAGCCATGTAAGTATGTACTCATTAGCATTTCATGTGTATTATGAGATCTTAATATTATATAAAAATGTGTTTATTTGATAAAAATTTAAGTGTTTAAAACTAATTTTAGTGATTTTTGCCTCATGTCAAGTTTTTTTTTCCCTCCAATTTAAATTTGTTCTTCTATAAATGGATGTTAAGTCAATAAATATGTTGAATTAATCAATTATTTAGCTTATGTTTATAGATATAGATATAGATTAATGGATTGTATTTGTGTTTCCACGCGTTTCCATATTTTTTCCGCGTTTCCATTGCATTTCCGAAACGTTTCCGAAACGTTTCGGAAATTTAGATGACCGAAACGGTACTTCGAAACGAAATTTCGATCCTTGACTGCTGCATAATGAACATCTATGGGACAGTGCATGAATTGGCATACATGGTTCACAACAAAGGTGATATTAGGTCTTGTAAAAGTTAAGTATTGAAGTGCACCCACCACACTTCTATAGACAGTAGGATCAGAAAGCAAAGTACCATCAGTCTTGCCCAATCTATTACCAGAAACACAAGGAGTTTTACAACTTTTGCAAGTGGCCATGTTTGTCTTCTGAAGAAGGTCTTTTGTCTATTTTTCCTGACTAATAAACAGACCAGTGGAGGTGTGTTTAATTTCTAAACCTAGAAAGGAATGAAGAGGACCTAAGTCTTTTATTTCAAACTCAGTGTGTGCAGATGGGATATAAGAGTCTGTATATAAGATGAATCATTGCCTAAAAGAATGATGTCATCCACATACAGAAGTAGGACTGTGAGAGAAGAGCCACATTTTCTGATGAACAGTGAGGGATCTACAGCTGAGGCATGAAAATCACAATTGTAAAGATAAGTAGTGAACCTTTTAAACCAAGCTCGTGGAGCTTGTTTGAGACCATAAATAGATTTATGTTGTTTGCAAACATGATGAGGTGTTGTCTGATCAATAAAACCAGGTGATTGAGCCATGTAGACATCCTCCTTCAAAGTACCATGTAAAAAGGCATTTTTAACATCCAATTGTTGAAGCTTCCAACCATATGTGGCAGCTAGAGACGGAATAACCCTTACTGTTGCATGCTTGACCACAGGACTAAAGGTCTCAGTGTAATCTATGTCTGGTTCTTGGTGATAGCCTTTGGTCACTAATCTTGCTTTATATCTAGCAATAGTACCATTGGCATTATACTTTATTCTATAAACCCATTTAGATCCTATGAGATTCTGCTGTGAAGAAGGGGGAACCAGAGACCAGGTGCCCTGTTGCTGCAAAGCTGAGAATTCTTCAGCCATGGCTGCTCGCCATTCTGGAGATTTGGATGCAATGGTATAAGAGGTAGGCTCAGGCATAGGAGCAATAGTGAGAAACACTTTCTTTTTACTAATGTCATGCTTGGATCTAGTTTGCATTGGATGATTGTTAACCACTAGAGGTTGAGCTGGTGGATTGATAACTAAAGGAGAAGTGAGATGCGGAGAGGGGGTAGAAACAGAAGGTGAAGGTGTAGAAACAAAAGGTGTGGAGCTTTGAGTGGTGACAGGAATTGAATTTGTGGAAGAAGGGGGAACAGAGGTTTAAGTAGTAATAAAAGAAGAAGATACTGAGTCCTGTGGGAAAAAATAAAGAGGAGGAGGTCCTAACAATGAGGGTGTAGGAGATAAAGTAGAAGAGGAGGAGGTATTTGCAAAAGGAAAAGTGGTTTCATCAAATAGAACATGTCTAGAGATGTACATCTTTTGAGTGGGAATATGATAACAAAAATATCCTTTAAAATTAGTAGTGTATCCAAGGAAAACACAAAGCTTAGATATTGGCTGAAGTTTATGAGAATTATATGATTTAAGAAGAGGAAAGCATGAACAACCAAAGACTTTTAGAAACTGATAATCAAGTCTGTCCAAAAAGAAGTTCAAAAGGAGACTTACGTGAAGTATTTGAACTAGGAAGTCTATTAATGAGATAGACTGCTTTGGAAAAGGCATGAACCCAGTTTTATAGGAACTGAGGCCTTAGACATAAGTGTAATAGCTATTTCCACTATATGCCTATGTTTTCTCTCAGCCACTCCATTCTGCTGAGGAGTGTATGGGCAGGATTTTTGATGAGAAATGCCAGATTGTTGAAGAAAAGACTTGAAAGGATGACTAATAAATTCTCCACCTCCATCAGATCTAAGAATTTTGATTGTATGAGTGAGTAAATTTTCAACATAAGGCTTAAAGTGACAAATAACCTGATAAACATCAGATTTTTGAGCAAAAGGATAAATCCAAGTAAACTTGGAGTAGTTGTCTATAAAAGAAATATAGTATCTATAGCCATTGTAAGACATTTCTGGAGCAGGACCCCATACATCTGTGTGCATCAATTCTAAAGGAAAAAATGAGACAGGGTGTGACACAGGAAAAGACAGCTTAGACATCTTGCCATAAATGCAATGTTCACAAGTACAAGGCTTATTTGCAATAGAGAAAGAATGCTGGAAAGTAGATAAAACTTGCTGAAGAATAGGATGAGAAGGATGCCCCAATCTATCGTGCCAAAGCTGATGATGTACTCGACTGCCCAGATGTGCAGTAATTGAAGAAGACTGAGGTAAAGCTTGGATAGGATATAAGCCATTAGTACGCTTTCCTCTGTAGAGAAGAGTGTCCGTGGCCTTGTCCTGAATAGAGAATTCATGTTCATCAAATGTTATTTGACAATGATTAGTAGCACATAATTTATGAACAGAAAGTAAGTTGGAAGAAAGTGAAGGAACATGAAGAACATCAGTCAAATTGAAAGTATGGGATGCTGTAGGAAGAGTAGATTGACCTGTGTGAGAGATTGGTAAACCCTAACCATTACCAATTGTGACTACGTCATCACCAACATAGTCTAAAAGAAAAGATAAATTTTCAAAATCTGAAGTGAGATGGTTTGTTGCTTTAGAATCTGTGAGCCAAACATTAGAATTGGTAGTAGAAGTATCTGAAGAGGCTGCCATTGCTATGAGATTTAGGGATGGACGACTGCCTTGATAGGCAAAATACATGCAATGATAACAATCAGGAGCCACATGACCTACTTTATTACAGATCTGACAAATAGGTCTAGGTTGATTTCTGTAAGAGGATGACTGATTGTAGTTGCTTGTGTTGTGTTTGTCAAAATTGCTGGATGAACCACTCTGTGGAGATTCAAAACCATAGTTGTAACTATTAGATCTGTTACGACCACCACTACGATTACCAGACCAACGTCCTCTGCCCCTTCCTTGATTGTTTGAATATCTACCTCTGTTTGATGAGAAATTGTTGTTTGGTGAGAAGTTGTTGTTTTTCTGCTGTGTAGCAGCCATTGCTGAGGGAGCCAATGTAGTTTGATGCATAGCTTCAATAGAGTGTTCCTCAGCTCTTAGAAAGACATGAAGATCTTCAAGAGACAAAGGTTGTTCACGAGTTCTAATAGAAGTACAGAAGGCATTATATTCTGTAGACAAGCCATTAAGAGTGTAGATCAACATGTCTTCATCTGCTACACAAATAGAAGTAGCTGCAAGTTTGTCACGAAGTTCTTTGAGTTTTTGCACATAGATGTCTATAGAATCTGATCCTTTTTTGATTGTTTGCAGACTAGATTTGAGCTAAAAAATGTTAGCTCTGGTGAGAGAAGAAAATCTTCTCTCTAGTGCCATCCAAATGGCATGAGAAGTCGTATAGCCAATAACATGAGTAAGAGTAGATGGAGATAGTGTTGTGTTGAGCAATGTAATAATAATCTGATCTTGAGTAAGCCAAGTCTGATACAGTGGATTTAGATTTGTAGTTGAAACTCCTTCAGAATTTCGAAGAAACTGCTCTGGACAACGAACTGATCCATCAACATAACCTAGGAGAGAATGAGCTCTCAAGATTGTAGAAACTTGATATTTCCATGAGACAAAATTTGTAGAATCCAGTTTGACAAAAGAAACACTGGAGATTGAGACATTGAAGTGCTCATTGAAGCTGTTGAAGTAGAGTTCGAAGATGTTTGAGGAGAGGTTGAGGAAGAATCAACCATTGAGACGTTAATCTCTTTGATTTGGCTCTGACAATTAGGGACGAACAAGACAAACCACTGGATTACTGTCTAGTGAAAATTGTTGTAATAGAGATGCGTTTTGTTTACTTGTAAAGCCATTGCCAAGTGGCTTGATCGTCAAGGCAAGAGAGAGGGCGGGAAAATATTCGGATTCTTGGGGAGGGGGCGTTTGGATAATGGATTAAAGGTGGTAATCCACTAGTAAAATAGAATAAAATAGGAGTAGGGCTCATAAACCTCTTGTTTGGAAAGTCATTTTTTAAGTCGGATACCAATTGCAAAGTTAAGACTTGACCCAGTTGCAAGAGTACCCTTTAACCCCCCCCCCCCCCCAAAACAAAAAAATGGGTTACAAACCTAGGCAAATAGGTAATAATTGCCCTCACATAGACGTATTTACCCCTCTTTCTCTCTCCACCCACTCATAGTGATGAATCCCTCTCTTGTTAGCTAACCTCTTCCAAGGGTTTGCACGAAGAAGACGACATCGGTGGTGTGTGCTCAAAGAACGAAGAATAGAGCTTCATCTTGACATAAGTTTTTGCAACAAGTTCTTCTACTCCCCACCGTCAACATCGACAAGCTCCGGTCGATGGTTCCTCAGGATGTGAAAGACAAAGCCAATCAAAGTAATGTTTCTATGATTGATGTGACTCAATTTGGGCACTTCAAGCTACTTGGGAAGTATGTCTTGTCCAGTGATCGGGCGATGGTTGGAAAAGGTGTTAGCAATTTTTATTTTTTACTCGGTTCTGTTGATTGTGTTAAATTTTGTAAGTTTGAGTAGGGTAGGTAATTTTTTTAAATAAACGTAAAAAGAAAATATAAATGAACAGATTTTTTTTAAATTTATTCTTTTAAACAAGTCTATAAAATTATTGAATTTTAACTCTTTTGAAAATATGACTCGAGCTCAAACTAATCTTAACCAGACCCAAAACCAAAGCAGAGTAGTTGGTGTCAATTAATACCCTACTCAACCCAGCTGTATTGTTAATTACCGCTATTTTTGCTTTTTAATATCAAAATAATTTTTCTTTTGCATTTGTTTTTTCACACTTCACTTCCCTCGCATCACCTCCACGTGCCTCCACTCCCAAAGTCCCCAAAACCAAACACACCCCTTTTGGCTCCCACCGTCCGGTGGCTTCCTTTATGCGCCGATAACAAACATCTCCGACTATAACTTCTCCGATCTCTGTCTCCGGACGCCTCTGCTGCGAGCTACCTGACCTCATCTTCGTCTTTCACTTATCACCTGCACCAATCACCGGCATACCCTACTCCTACTTTGGGGCTTCGGATTTTAAGTTTTGTGTCTCATCTTCCTGGAAGGCCAAATGAGTAGCTCTAGGGAGACCTCACCAGATTGGCTTCGTTGTTTCCAGGTATTTCATATGTATTGGCGCTTGCTTTCCACTATATATGGAAAACTCATCATTACTCCAAAGGCATTGATGATTTTGCTGTATAATCCTTTATAATGTCATATATGAAATTGATCAGGAATTTCAAGCATTTACAGCAACACACAAAAAAAATTCGTGCATCTGTGTCATGAAATTGTATTTGGACTGTATCGTGATACATAACGCCAGTGCTCGCGTGTCTAGATCTGATGGAATTAAAGAACTTATTCATGGACTGTATGTTTATTGTAATATTATAAGTTTTTATATCCGCTATTGCTATTGGTATTTTTGTGATGATTTTTGTCCTTTCCTAGAAGGATTGAGTTGTCTAATGCTTGATCTACTAATTTTTTTGTTTGATGCGCGAAGTTAATTTTTGACAGGCACCAACTCAATCAGCTCTATCATTGTCGTCGGCCTCCCAGTCTCCTCCAGAGGACAACCCTGTAAGCGAGGGTCTCCCGAAAGAAACTTCCCATTCTTCTGAGAAAAACAACTCCCAAGACACTGGGGAGTCTCCAGTTGATAATACTCTAAAAGCAAAGTCCCCCAGCAAGAGTAAAAATAAGAAAGCAGATCTCACACGTTTGCGAAAAAGAGGAAAAGAGACAAAGAAGGTAAAACGATTGTGGGTGCTAATTTAACTGTACTGTAGGGTTTATATATGCAATATCAAGCAATATTGCATATAAATATATTAAGAATATTCTAACCATGCGGCAGTTAAAGAAATCACAATTTGACTCTAAGCCTTTAAAGAGTGGAGTTTGACATGATTTTGACTTCAAAGTTTCCTTTTCTTTTTAGAATGAAAACATAGATTCCTTCCCATGTTCTAATATATTTCTTCTTGGTAATGCTGCAGGGAATGGGGTTGATGGGGAAGTTTCAAAGAAAGAGACGTCTGTGAAGACTACGAAACCTCATGTAAGAAGCTCTGCACTGAAAATGCTTATTTATTGTCTGGTTTGGAGTATGTAATGAATTTTCCTTAGAGATAAGGAGGTTCCATTTTCCACCTATATAGCATATTTGTGTAGTTTACAGTTGTATTTCTGTAGCTTGATGCACATGTATCAAGGCAGATTGTCTATTTGTTTTTGACATGACTCACGCACTGGTGGGATGTACAAATGAGGAACGTCATATTTTATTGATGGATACCTGTAGGCATATTTTATTGTGTACCATTCACTCAAGTTTAGGAAATAGTCAAGGTATTAGACTTCTTTTTAGTCAATTTTGTGGGAAAATGAGCAGTCACATTGCTTATAGAAGGTGAAACTGAAAACTCTAGCATAGCAAGCAGCTTAGCATTAATTTCAACAGATGCTAAATTGAGCTGCATATATCGAAGGAAATAATGATTATGTTGTATGCTGATCCTGAATGGAATTTGGATTGTGGAGTTGATAGAATAATATCCTTTGTCCTCTGGGCCAGGACACAATTCAGAGATATATTGCTCGGTGAGTAGTTACTAATCAAATTTGGGATAAAATAGTAGCCACAAAATAACAAGGGTATGAGTAAGCCTGAAACAAAATCTATCAGAAGCTTAAAATAGGAAACTGCATGTCATTTGCTCATCACCGGTCCTTGTATACAACCTCTTCATCTGCATGGAAATGCTGTCTGTCCTTGAAGTTGCTGATACATTGGCCAAGGGAATGTGTGTTGGACAATATTATGGGAGGTGTCATTAAGGTACTAAGGTAGGTTCATCCCGATGAAATCAGGGTGTTGATCCAAGCAAAATCTAAGTTCTCGAAGGGCAGGAGAAGGAATGACAGGAAAATTTTATATATTAATCGAAGTCTAGTACAAAGCTGCTTAGAAGGACTATTTACAAGAAAATATCACCATAAACCCTAATAGTTTTAATTTAGGTGGTCATAATAACTGATAATCTTAATCATATAAATTAGCAAAAATAATCTTAAGGCAGCCGTAGCATACTACTGTAATATGTGAGTGCATGGGAATGCACAAGTCCTTCATGAATAGTGGTGACACACTTGAGTAAATTTAACAGTAGCACTGGTTTCTCATGCATCAGGAGCAAATGGTTTTGACCAAAAAAAAAAAAAAAAAGGAGCAAATGGTTGTGCAGACACACACCCAATAAGATATGTAGTCTCACCAAGGATCCAAACATACTGGTCATTCGTGCAGTACTCTCTTAAGGCCAAAAGTAGTTAGCCTGATATCAGGCATTGATTTTTGTTACTCAATCAATATCGGAACTCCACTGTGTATTTTCAGTAATTGGCCTACACATATTACTCAGCTCAAAAGAGCCTCTGTCCCAACTATTTTGGCCGAGATATTTCCTTCCTCGGTTAGCATCATGAGGTGTCAAACTATGTTGCGTTGTGTGCACCTCTAGCATCCCGATTCTATGCACATTTTCAATCTGTGACATAGTTATGCTAGTCTTCCTTTGCAGAATAGTTTTATCAAGTTCAATGGGTTTCTGGCTCTCTAATGTCCCTAATTTGATATGTCTTGCCGTGTACATCATAATAATCTTGGTGTTACATTTCTACTGGAATTAAAGTGACTTGCTAGTTTGTAATTTATTATCATGTTGTCCATACTAATTGTAAGAAAGTGCTTTCATGAACAGGAAACAAAGCATCCAGTCTGGACATTGTCATCAGATTCTGAATCTTCTCCTGATTCCATCTCTGTAAGGGAGCACAACTCACATCATGAGGAATTATCTGCACATGAGATTGGTGGACAGTCTCCACTTAAGGAGGCCTCTAAAGTGAAATCTCCTAAAAAACAGCTCAAAACAGAGGATCATATACCCAGAAAAAGGCAGAAATTAAACAGCCACATGAACAAAGAAGGTATGAAGGCTGAATTTACAGGCCTGAGGTTCCTTGATGATTCTGAACCGAAGTACAAAGGTTTCAGATGAATGACCACAAACCTCTTATCAAGTTCACGAGTCTATAGTAAAAATCCCCCCCCCCTCCTTCTTCTTTCTCTGTGTCACATGCTGGCTATGCATTTTTGTAAACCTAAATTATATGAAATTTTCAATGATTGTGCTGGTAATGATGGTGAAATGGAGGTTGTGGAAGACGAAATAACCGAGAAGCATATTGGACCTTATATCAGAATCTTCTCTAGCTCTGAAAAGTAGTTTGTTATGTCTTTTAGATTAAGGGAATTACCTGACTACACATAATCTGTAGGTTTCCTCTTCAAGGCTACCTTTGGTGCTGTCTGAGAAAGTGCAGCGCTCAAAGGTAGGCCCAGCAATTATAGTGGTAATTATAATATGGTTTTTTGTATTTGCCTTCTCCTCAGAATCTGTTTCAAGAGTCTGAGTTGCAATATCACAGTTAGTGTTGAGCATGTCTGAATCCACCTGTGCTATGAGGTTTTACATTCCCTATCTTCTTCCCTCTCTGGAAGTTGAACTAAATAACTTCTGTCTCTGGGACAAGGATAAACTATAAGCAGGGGAGAGAAGCATTACTAGGTGATTGTAGGTCATCGATTGTTTAATTGCTTTATTATAATAGGATCTCTTTGGTAATCATGCACTTGTCGAACCCATCATGTATGCTGCTTTAATTGCATACTTATGCTCCTCTCTTAGGTGCCTGCTATATTGTTATTCTTTTTATCTAACAGATTTACCTTTGCATACTACTAGTAAGAGTTCTGTATTTGTGCAGGCACTTGTGGAGTGTGAAGGTGAATCCATAGATTTGAGTGGCGATGTGGGTGCTGTTGGATGGATAATTATTTCAGATAACCAATCAGGAAACCAGGAAATGCTCTTAGATTTGAAAGGCAGGTGTTTTTCCTGTAATAGTGCACGTAGTTATCGTTTTGCTAATGATCTGTGATTTGCATTATTGTGTCTGCGACTAATCATCGCTGCTCAAAACTGATAGAGTTGTTCAACCAGTTGCTGATGATACTTATTTCATTTGATTTCTAAGTGGATATGATGTGCTGTTGAAAAAATATTAGTCTACTAAAATTTGGCACTGTGGTTGATTGATGTTTTGTACTGTGCATTGTATATTGTGGTATGTGGCGCACTATTTGAGACAGGGGCATCGATGCCTGATCACTGGGCGTGAAGTGGTGTGCTAGAACTATGGTGTTCCTAGGAGGTTCAGGAGATATGGATCCATGTGGGATCGATTACCCGATGAGGGATAATATGAATGTGATGTGACTTGTGAATTCTTTGAAATTGGATTGATGTTATTGTTTGATACATGTATTTACGTAATATCTACCTGCTTCAGTGTATTACTATTATTTTTATTTCATATACAACATGTATACTCACTAAGCGCTTGATTTAGTTCACACCCCTACAACTTTTTTTCAGGTACTATAAAGGAGGATACAAACCGGTCCACTGTTAAGTTGATTGAATCTTGTGCAACGTTAGTGTGATATCACTCAGGTTGAGTGTCAGTATGACTAATTGTTGGGTTGTGTATTATATTTATGAGAGATTATTATGACATGTTAATAGTATAAATTTGTCAATAGACTCAACAAACATATTTTGTGATGTATGCTATGTGGGTGTGGAATTTTGTATATGTCTATAACCTGGGAAACAAACGATTGATATAGGTGTTTTATCTATAGTACAGGTTATGAGACAAGTTTTACCATCATGTTTAATGACTAAGGTGATGAGTGGTGTTGTTGCACCTGTGGGATTATTTAATGTTTGATTAGTCAAAATTATAATAATTGTAAACAGGTGTATCAAAAACTAATCGCGTCTCATCCTTGGGAGACCCGAATGGGGCGTGACAGTAACCATGGTCATGACACAGACGACTGTTTCCAGCTCAAGAAGCAGATTGAAGAGCTTATTCAGTGCGGCCAGCTAAGATAATATGTTGCTGGTCAAGGACCAACCCCACCACATGAAGAACAAGAGCACCAACAACCCCTCAGTTAGATTCAGACCATCACCGGAGGGTTAGGAGGAGGAGATGATTCCAACTCTGCCAGGAAGCGCACGGCTGGAGAGCTAGACAGGCAGAGTCACATGACTCTTGCCCGATGAAGACACCCTGACGTGGGGAGAAGGAGGTCATCACCTTCTCAGACAGGGACCTTGAGGGGATTCAGATTCTATATGATGACCCTCTGATTTTGACCTTGATGGTGGCCAACTATCAAGTCAAGAGGGTCCTAGTCGACAGCGGAAGCTTAGCCGACATCCTGTTTGCCGCGGCCTATGACAGCCTTCACCTTGGCAGAGAACAACTACAGCCAGTCAGGATTCCCTTGGTCGGCTTCGTAGGAGAGAGAGTCCATCCCTTGGGATCTATCGCCCTACCTGTCACAACAGGAATTGCGCCAAGGAGCTCCATTGTTATGGTAAATTTTCTTGTACTTGATTGCCCTTCTGCATGTAATATAATTTTTGGATGACCTGCCCTCAATGCCCTAAGGGCAATGCCATCAACCTACCATATTCTTCTTCGTTTTCCAACCTTTAGTGGAATTAGGGAGATCAGAGGAGATCAGGTCTTAGCCAGGGAGTGCTATGTGGCCTCTATGAGGGCCAGAAGGCTACAAGAGACTCTCCAAGTCGAGGTGCTTGACCCGAGGGACAACAATACCTTGGAGAGGGTTGAACCTGCTGAAGAGCTTTAGCCCGTAGTAGTCGACGACAACCATCCAGTGAGGAAGGTCTACATAGGTTCCTCACTCTCCCAGGAGCAGGCATCCGCCTTAGTAGACTTTCTCAGGCGAAACACGGACGTCTTCACTTGGTCCCACGAAGACTTGGAGGGCATCGACCCCGAGGTGGCCTCCCACCAGCTTAATGTTGACCCTAGACACAAGTCTGTCCACTAGAAGTTGAGGAGTGTAAGTATAGAAAAGGGGCAAGCCATGGAGGAGGAGGTAGACAAGCTGTAGACGAATGGGTCAGTAAGGGAGGTAGCCTACCCAAATTGGCTATCCAATGTGGTGATGGTAACAAAAGCTAATAAGAAGTGGCGTCTATGCATAGATTTCACGGAGCTCAACAAAGTCTGTCCCAAAGATAGCTATCCTCTCCTTCACATCGATCTCCTCATCGATGCCACTGCTGGACACGAGCTCCTAAGTTTTCTGGAGGCCTACTCTGAGTTTAATCAAATCATCATGTTCTCTCCAGATCAGGAGAAGATCTCGTTCATCACCCTGAAAGGCACTTATTGCTACAGGGTGATGCCTTTTGGACTCAAGAACACCAGAGCCACCTATCAGCGTCTCGTCAACAGGATGTTTGAGGCCCAGATTGGAAAGATGATGGAAGTCTATATAGACAACATGCTGGTAAAGAGTGCAGCAATGGTAGATCATGTGACACACCTACAGGAGACCTTCGACGTGTTGAGAGCCTACAAGATGAAGCTGAATCTTGAAAAGGGCGTCATTGGCATCAGTTCAGGAAAGCTCTTGGGCTTCATGGTCCACAAAAGGGGTATCGAGGCCAACCCAGATAAAATTAGAGCTGTCTTGGAGATGAAATCCCCCACCTCAACAAAGGAAGTCCAATGCCTTAACAGGAGGATAGCCCTCAACAAGTTCATCTCTAAATCAACAGATAAATGTCTAACCTTTTTTAAGATCCTCTGCAGGTCTTTCTACTGGAGCCTAGACGCAGATTAGGCCTTCCAAAAGCTCAAGGCCTACCTTGCCACACCACTACTGCTCTCCCATGCTATACCAGGAAAGACTCTTTACATTTATCTCTCATCTTCTCCCTCTACTGTAAGCTCTGTTCTCGTCAGAGAGGATAAGGGCATCTAGAAGCTAGTATACTATGTAAGTTGGGCGTATCAAGTGGCAGAGGTGAGGTATTTCAAACTAGAAAAGTTAGCTCTCACCCTTGTCACTATCGCCAGGCGTTTACGCCATTATTTTCAAAGTCATACCATCGTGGTTGTCATAGATCAGCCACTCAAGAGGAATTAGGGAAGCCTGATGTTTCTGGCCAACTACTCAAGTGGGTCGTTGAGTTGAACGAATTCGATGTGCAGTACCAGCCGAGGGCTGCCATCAAAGCACAGACACTTGCAGACTTTGTGGTCGAGTCCACACTGCCACAAGAGTCCCAGGAGAAAGTACCAGATGCCTTGCGTCCACCTGCTCAATGCACACTAACTTCACTCACCAAGAGATCAATTCAGACACTACCCAAGGAGAACTTCATAACCCGGAGAAGGAGCCAAAAGCAGCCCTGCAGGCTGGGCAGCCATGGGCACTGCCCACCTGGCCCTTGGCGCCGCCCACCTTGCCAAGGGGGCTGCCTACCCTGCCTAGGGCGTCGCCCTCATCACATTCTGCTCACTCCTCCCTCCAGGCGTTGCCTCCTTCACCCACTACACCATGCAGGAAACCTATGTAGATGGGTCCTCCACCAATGAGGGCGATGGAGTCAGACTAGTGTTGATCAGCCTGCATGGCCCTCCATTAAAGTACATTGTCTCCTTCCACTTCACCACATCAAATAATGAAGCTGAGTATGAGGCACTTATATCAGCCCTAAGGTTGGCCATGGAATAGAGGCCCTCAACCTGACTGCCTATAGTGACTCTCAGCTCATAGTCAACTAGGTGAAGGGAGACTTTGAAACGAAGGAGGAAAGGATGCAAGAGTATCTGTCGGTGGTCCAAGCCCTACTCACAAAGTTTGCCTACTTTCAGATACACCATGTGCCTCGAGAAGAGAACACTATGACAGACGCCTTTGCCAAGTTTGCCTCTGCCAACATACTCATGGGCCGCTAACAGGTCACCAGTTCGAGCCTAGCACCTCCAAGATAGAGGGGACAACGTCTACTGTGCATCTTGGAACCCGATTGGATGAATCCTATTCGAACCTATCTAGAAAAGGGCACTCTCCCAGACGACCCAGTGCAAGCTAGAA